CACACCAGGCCAAAATTCCTCTCCTTCTTGAGGAGGCTGGGCTGCCGTGGGGGTCAGCACAGGGAGGCTGAGAGCCTTGTCTTGGTGCTGTTAAGCATAAATCAGAGGAGGGAGCGTTGCAGCTCTGTGAATGCATTGGCTTGTGTGAAAAGAGGAAGGACACGGTGGCAGAAGAGACTACCTATTGACACAGAGCGTGGACTCGTGTAGCTGCAGCTGGGAGCTCTCCTGTAGCGACAGCCTGCTCGACAGGGCGCAGAGAGGAGCTGTGAATCAGCTTCAGGCGGTGCCGGAGCCATCGCCCCGCTCCCCGAGGGAGCCCCAGTGCCAGCAGAGTGCTGCTTCTCCTCGGGCTCAGCTCCGATTCTCGGAAATTATTCCAGACCCTTCAGCTGAGTGTGCTTTAGCAAATTTGCATATCCTTCCTTAAAAAGGATTGCATTGCCCTTGTTTGTCACTTCAGTAATTTTTTAGTCTTTTCTTCTAAAGAGGAACTATCAAACTGCGGCAAACGAGGAAGAAGTGGATGTTCTGTGACAAGAAGCGAGTGACTGGACCCGTTGTTTTCTCTCTGCTTTTATTGGCTGTTTGAATGGCTGGGGACAGGGAGGCAGCTGCTCCAGACCTTCCCTGTGCTGCTTGGTCCCGCAGCGTCCCTCAGCCCCATGCTGGCCAGCTTTGTCCTGTAGCAGATGCTGCCCGAAATGCACTGCAGAAAAGGAGCCCCTTCAATTCCAAGAGTGATTTCAGTGTTTCCCTGGGACCCTGAGCACCATTCAGCTGCCAGGCTGGCCTGGCTTTTCATTTCCTAGATCACCTCTCACCTTGCCAGCGCTACTCCTTATCCTGTGCCACTCCTGGGAGGTGCTGTGCAAACACAAATGCGATGTTTGTTCAAAAAAAAACTATGATCTAATCCTGAAAAAGGTACTGTTAATGAGTATAAAGAAAGAGACAAGGAAACAATGAGACAACAGATTTCTTGTAAGCCTAGACTCTTAATTTGACCTGAGATGATTGTGAAGATTAAAACAAAAAAAAAAGGCTGTGTTGTTTGTAAGCTGCAAAAATAGAGAAGCTGAAGACCACTGACTTGAGGTACTTACTCTGTTGCAGACACAGCTAGCACTGTTTTGATAAACACAAATCATGCACTAACACATGGCTCAAACTCCAACCCAAAAGGTAGTGTTTTAAAGAAAAAATTCAACTTCTTTGGTCATCTTTAAGTTACAAGACCCTTCGCAGCATTACAAGAGGGCAAGGTGTTTAGGGCAAAATATTTTCTAAAGATGTCGCTATTGCTGTAACTAAAAAAGAAGGAAAGAGGAGAAGTAAAGACTTGGAGGAAACAAGGGGAGAACGCTAAGTAGTGGAATGGAAGGCAATATGAGTAGGCACTGGGGTGTCCTACGCTATTGGATGGCAATAGCGCCCTTAAACCAGCAGCAGAAGCTTTATTGCAGCTTTTTCTAAGTAAAGGGGATTTTAGCAGCTGTATCCCACAAAGAAGGATTCCTTGCTGCAGGCCAGGGTTTGAATCACCTGTCTATTGCAAGATCAGCAACCGGTTGTAAGACGTTGAGTTTGCCTGGAGGACCACTGCCAGGAGACTCCTGGGCAGCCAAAGCAGGGTCAGCAAGGGGCTGGGCATGGTGCTGGGCTGGCCAGGATCCCCAGCATCCCCAGCATCCCCAGCACAAGCCAGGCCCCACAGAGTGCCTGAGGGAGCTGCGCGTGCTGGGTTGCGGGTAGGACCACTGTGTGTGCAGGCAGCCGAGGGCAGGGCGGGCTGGAGAGGCCTGTGAGAGCTAGAGGCAGCACTGCTGCCTGCTCCGCGGGTGCCCCCTCATCTAACGGGTGCAGGTGCTTTGGGCAGGTGGGTTGTGTTGGTTTGGTGTGGTTTGTGTTGGTTGAGTTTGGTTTGGTTTTTAGATATGCAAAAAAGCTGTTGGCTTGATTGTAACACCTCTCTGGATGGCTGTCTCAGTTCCATGAGACCATCTCTGCAGGACATAGTGGGAGCCATAAAAAGCTGCAGAATTAAAGTCCAGTATTTTCTGGGGCTAGCCAGGAGTATTATGTATCCCAGTGGTCAGCTGGGAACTTCTTCTTTTTCAGGAGAATAAATCATTCATTTTACCTGTTTGCTTAAAGTTATACATTAAAACTGTCAGTTACCCAGGTCTGGGGCTGAGGTCATATCTGTGAAAGAGACTACAGAATTATCTCTGTGCAAGCTTTTTCTTTCACTATTGTTTTAAAGTCATAGATTTCAAATAATAGGGTACTGTAAGAAAAGGTTGTCTAGCAGGCCAAAAGTTCATAAAAATTGCAAGACTGTTATTTATTTATCACCTGGCTGTATTACAAGTCCCTGTGTGTACAGCATCAAGTACAGATTCTTAGTGTCTCTACAAAGCACCTTTGAAGCCATAAATGTTGGGTAATTTTTACTGCTTAGCTATCCAAACTGCTGTACAGAAGAAAAGTGTTCCTCCTTTACTGCCAGCACTGTGAGTAGGTACCCCTGAAGCTCTCCGGATGTATTGGTTCTCACGTCCTCTCTCTCCTTCTCCGCTCCAGTTGTCACTACAGATCACCCTGCCATGCCAAAGTGAACGACACTATGAGTACTCTGGACGGTGCTGCACGAAGTGTGAGCCAGGTACGTAAGCACGGGGCTGTACCAGCTTCGTAGAGCTGGCTGGGAACAGCTCTGTGGGGCAGTGAGGCAGCTGCTTCTGGAGGCTCCGCTCAGCTGCTGGCACACACCCTCGCAGGTGCCGGATTCCAGGCTCACGAGTGCCTTCTGGTGCAGGAGGGGTCCTGCTGGCCGCAGCAAGAGCCACGGCAGCTGCTGCGTTGGGGTAGCGCCTCACCAGGGCAGGAGACGGCGAGCAGCCTGGCTCTGTGCCCAGGCCATGAGCCCACAGGTGTTCCAGCGCCACGCTAGGGGCGGCCAGGCTGAGGGACTGAAAAGGTGGCAGGAAGAAACAGTTGTCCACAGCAGTACAGCACTGTTAGCCCAACCTGTTACCTTCCCTAAGCTCCTTAGGCAGCTGGTGAGCAACTTGCAAATGACCTGCTTACACCTTCTCCCATTCCCAGGAAAGTACATGTCTGCTAGATGCACCAGTGCTTCAGACAGCGTGTGCCAGCCGTGCGGCCCAAACGAGTACATGGATGTCTGGAATGAAGAAGATAAATGCTTGCTACATAAGATATGTGATCAAGGTGAGCTGCTCATACTGAGGAACCTTTTAATCCAAATTAGTGAAGGACGAAGATGGGAAAGTGGATCTAGGGAAGTTGCTTTGTTCAGGTAACTGGCTGGGCTTGCAGAAGAGCCTGGCAGAGACAGAGGCTCCCAGACAGCAGAGGTTCTGTGCTGAGCACCACATAGTCTCCTGCTGCTGATAGTGATTATCTTCATGGGGGCCATTGACTCCTGCAAGTTGGATCCTAAAGGTTGTCCTTTTGCTCAGCATGCTGTGCATTCGCTTCCCCTAACATGTTTGACTGACCTTGCAAAAGCTCCATTTGTTTTCCACAGCAACCACAAGGCAAAGTGTTGCTCCGGAATGCAAACAGTGAGGAGCTCCTCACTGACGAAGGGTCTCCCATGCTTCTGGAAAGATAACATTTCCTCTAACATGAATGGGTTTGCATCTGGCATTCAAGCAAAGCAAATAAGTAGAGCAAGGTGTTCATAAACCTGAGGCTTAGTATCCGGGAGATTTTCACTCCTGCTTTCTCTGCTAGGGAAGGCACTGACGGAGGTGAGCCCGGGGAACAGCACGTCCCAGCGGCAGTGTGCCTGCACGGCAGGCTACCACTGGAGTGAAGACTGTGACTGCTGCCAGCGGAACACTGTGTGCGCCCCGGGCTTTGGCGTCAAGCACCCCGGTAAGATGGGGAAGATACGGAGTGGAATGTCCAGCTCAGGCCTGCAGAATGAGGCCAGCACTGTGGGGGTTGTGATGGTAGAGACGATACTTTAGACTCTCGGATGACTGTCAGCAGAAGATGCATATCTTATTTATCATTCCTACTGCATTTAACCCTCCTGGACTATTTGCATTTCGAAGGCTTCTTCCTCTGTAATTTAAATAGCTCTTGGATCAGGTGACTTTTGCGAGGTATCACATGGACATGGCAGTAGTCTCAAGGTGTTCAGTGCAGTTCTAATATGTGCAGAGGTGCCTGGCTGTGTGTCACCAGGTCACGCATTGCTACAGTATTCAGAGAAGTGATCCATTGGGGATTGCTCCCGAGGTCAGATTTGAAATCAGATTTTGCCCAATGATGTTGCTTTGCCATTTTATAATGTTGTAAGAGAGTTAAAAGTCATTAATGCCTTTCAAGTAGCACAGGTATTCTGTTTTAGATTACTTGTAATGCAAAAATTTATTACAGACTTAATTTAGTTTTAAGTCTAACTACAAATAAAATGTAAGTGCTTTGATCATGTAGAGAAGTGCTCAGGTGAGACTAGCATACTTTTCTCTGCTTACATGTGGTTGTCATTGCTGATCTAAACTAGTCTAAGATCCTTATCTCTTCAGGGAAGGTTTCAGGGGGGCCAGGGGGGCAGAGGTTTGGAGCCAGAGGATAGGGAATATAGTCACCTTCCCCTCACCTGAAAGCAACCTAGGGAAACACTGCTATGAAGTTTTTCTTCCTTTACTTCACACAGTGCAACAAGACAAGGATACAATGTGTGTACCATGTTCCAGAGGCTACTTCTCACAGGTCGCTTCATCCACCGACAAGTGTAAATCCTGGACAAAGTAAGTCCCTGTATCTTGAAAAGGATGAGGACAGCCAGAAAGCAGGGAGAGCCTTAGATCCTTTCAGTGGGGTGTTTCAGGCAGTCTGCAGAGTGCACAGAGCGACTGTGTTGGCTCTGCAGGTGTAAGGCATTCTCACGCTGCAGTTGGAATTCTCCTTGGGGGGGAGCAAGAGAGAGCACTAACAACAGAACTGCTGAGTGACGCAGCTGAAAATGAAGATGTCTGAGGTTCTTCAGGGTTAAAAAATGCAGGGTAAATCTTGTACGTTACAACAAAAAGTGCTACTCTGCATAAGTGTAGGAGCCATGACAAGCTTCCTCTTGGAGAAGCTACCCTCTCTGTGTTTCTCTTTCAGCTGTACAGCTCTAGGAATGGCAGAAGTCGTGCCTGGGACTGACAGGTCTGATGCAGTGTGTGCAGAACGGAAGGTGCCTGAGCCGTCAGAAGATGGTATCTGTCCTCAGACAGGTTATCTGTGATGAAGTACCGAGGAGGAGGAGGGCTGTGTTTAGCAGGGGTTTTGGCTGGATTAACTCCATTCCCGTTGTGGACAACTCTAGGGGGAGCAGCTCTAGACCAAGACAGCACTCTTGGAAAATCCCACCTTTAAAGATTATTTTAAGCCTGGCAGCTCTAGGGCCCATGTCTATTACTAAGCAGAGCTTCACAGCTCCCACTGAAACTGTATGGCAAGCAGCATTGCTGTTATACTCGTGACCTCTGTCACATTTACAGCTCTCTTGTTTTTTCAGCTGATTTCCATAAACACACATTACCTGTATGAAGGCTGGCAGCTTCTCTCTGTGCTTGTTTCATAGCAATGGATACGTTCTCAGCTCAGTGTAGTTCTCCCTTCTTGCCCACTGCCTATTTCCTTCTCCAGTGTGGATATGGTACCAGGGAGGCTGCTTGCCTGGCATGCAGGGATCCTTCATAACCTGAGATAAAGGACAAATTTAGCCAGCTGAATTCCATTGTCCTCCATCCCCTGAAGGAGAGCAATCACAGCCCATGGGCTGCTGGTAGCTTACAAGGGGACTTTCAGAGGAGCAAAACTGGATTGCACATCTCTAAAACACCAAGACTGGTTTCTGTGGAGATTTCTTGGTACCAGGTACCTTCAGTAAGGCTGCTTGTCACAGAACTGCATGAGGGCTAGTGTTGTTGTCCTTACAGAAACTGAAAATCAAGTAGGAAGTAAAAAAGCTACCCTCTCATGTGGAAAAGCAGCTAAAATGAGCAAGAATTGTCATACTACTGAGTACAAGATGCATTTTAGTGACACTATCTTTTTTACAACTTGCAGGAACAAACAGGATCTTATACGTGTTGATTGTCATCTTGTTTTTTGTGACACTAATTGGCATTGTCATCTTCATCATATACTACAAGAATAAGGGAAAAAAGCTGACAGGTATGTGCTAGCTAATGATATTCATGCATGTGACAGCTGCATGGCTCTCTCTGCACTCTGATTTTGGGGGTAACCACCAGGGTAAGAAGCTGAGGAGTTATTGTGGAAGTTCTGTGCTATCCCTATATCTGTCCCTCTGGATATACTTCAACTAGCACAAAGCTGGCCTTCGAATGCCTTTCCTCTAGGCAGGCAGCATAACGCCTGTGGCCTGGTACCCTCCTGCAGCCCTGGCTGCCCTCCAGGCGACCACCCTCGGGGCAGCTGCAGCCACTGTGTGGATGCAGGAGGGCTGGTGCTGGGGGCTCTTGCAGCAGCACGACACCACAGACCCCTCCAGTGAAGAAAGAAAAAGTCTTTCACGGGGAAAGGCTTACTGGGCTTTCACCACCTCCTGTTTCCTTCCTCCTGCTTTCCCTCCTCTCCTGAAACCTGCATCTGGAAAGGTTAAAATGTGGATTTCAAGGCAGAGGCCTGGTGTGTATTTGAAAACATGATGGATGCAATGTTCTTAGCTGAAGGCCAAAGTTCTGATGAGGTGTGGAAGAAATACTAGAAGGAAATAGAACAGTAAACATAGAAAAATTCTAACAAATGTGTAGTGGATAACAATGGGGTAGTGAATATATTATTAATATGATGAAAATACCTTCAGCAGTTATGCAACTCTGTGTTAAGCCCTGGATCTCCTTAGTTAAGTATTGTTCTCTTAGTTTTTTATTTTCTCCCTCTAAACATGAAAAGCTTTTCCTATGTACTTTTTCCATCATCTCCTTTCGCAAGCCCTAACAATTTATGAATTGTTTTGGGAGCAATGGAAGGGAAGACAGCAACCCTCTCTCGAAAAGTGTATTTCAGTCTGTGTTTTAGAAACAGTCTGCCTCTGCCACACTAAACACGGGTTGTGCTAAATCTGGAATTCCTGGGATGGTCTGGAGGAAATGGTGACTCTCCTTGCAAACCAAATACTTATTATGCAAATCAGGTTAGGAGGAAATGCTTTTTATTTGACATTTCTATTGCCCCACTGCTTGAGTCCTCCAGTTAGCAGGATTTACCATGCAAAAGCAATGAAGAGTCCTTCATTGCTTTTGCATGGTAAATCCTGCTAACCAGAGCTCCAGAGACTTGCAGGCTCAGGAAGGAGCTCTGCCTACTTGGGCTTGGGGGTGAGTGTGCAGATTCAACATCAGAGGAACAAAGTTCCTTGGTGGGAACTGGCAGTGGCTACGTAGCTGATCTGTCTCCAGACATACAAAATCAGTATAAGCTTCAAATATACATGAAAACTGAGCCCTGCAAAATCTCCTGAAGGTATAAACAGAAATCAAGAAGGATTGTTAATTTTACCATAAAGCATTGCTGGACTTAAAACTTTCCTTGAGAAAGGTTCAGATTAAGTCAATTTCCCTACTAAATACATTGTGAATAAGTGGAATATGCTCTATTTGAGCCTGCCATCCTGTGATTTCAGTGGCTTACCCTCTTCTCTCCAGACTCCTTGCTCCTGTCTGAGAATGGCCCTTGGGCCATCCATGTGACCTCTCTTGAAATAGACTGTGTGGCTGCAAGCGGGTCGGTATTGGGCCAGTCATAGCTTGGTGGGACGTATGACCAGGAAAGAAACCCCATTTGATGTGGAACACAGTTTTACCGTGGTCTATTTTAGGAGCCTGGAAACATTTGTTCCACAGAAATATATCCTTGTTCCAGTTACAATGAATCCTCAGCGAGACCGATGCTGAGACACTTGGACAATCAGTAAAAACAGTTTGTCTCGCTCATTTTTATTTAATGTGATATTGTGGACTGTGAGTCACTGTGGGTGTTTAGGTCTGTGGCTAACTTCACTGCCTGCTGTACGTTACAGCTACTCTTTTTGCTTTCACTACAGCAGATCTACAGAACTGGGCTAACGAAGTGTGCAGCCAAATAAAAAGCAGAAAGGTAAAGTCAAAGACACTGGCATTTTCTCTTTGTTTTATTTCCTCATGGCATTCCTAACACTCCTCCTGAAGCAGACTCCATATTACCGTTTGGCTAGAAAACAAGTTTTGAGTGCCCAAAAAAAATGCTCACAGCTTTGACTTTTTCAGTCTGGTTTTCTGCAAATGTGAGGCATGTGATATCACCATTGTCAAATAGCTTCTGAACCTGCTCTCTGTTTTCAGCAAGTTTTAACAGTGGTAAGAGCCTCTGTGATCATTATTTATGAGGAGAAAGTTAAACATGAGCTCATTGGTTGCTGAACACCTGAGACTCTGCCTAAGAGAGTATAGTTCTAAGTCTTAAGAGCAGGAAAATCTTCAGTTGAGTTTGCACTTTTTTACGTACTGGAGTGCTCTCAGGGTAGAAACATGGATTTGGGGCAATGCCAAGAATGCCAGGCATGGAAGGCATTAAGCACAGAGCCACCAGCTAAAGAAGCTGACTGTGAGACACCTTAATTCTGGTGCTCACAGAAACCCTTCTTGTGCATTCATATGTGAAAAAAAGTAAGACCTGGAAGTACATCAGATCCCATGCTGAGGTGGGGGCACAGGTCCAAGTTCGTGTGCACTGCCTGCTTCACACCATGGACTGAGGTGTCCCAGGTGCATGCTTCCCCCACCACCCCATCTAGGAGCTCTCTCTAGCTTAGCTGTTGAAAGACTCAAATTCTATTGCTGCAAAAAAAACCCACTCCAAATAAACCCACCTTTTTGAGCAGGCAACTCCTCTTTTGTCTCCCAAGTGTTCATGTAACCTCCTGCTTTGGCAGCTGCTCAGATCCTCCAGGACAGAGGATTAACAGCAATTAGTGGCTGGCAGCATTTACACTCTCCTATCCTGGAAGATCTGAGCAGACACTAGAAATGAATACTCATGTAGTTCTCAAATACCCATCTTCACAGCACAACTTGGATAAACTGAACACATGAAGTATTTCCCAACCCTTTTTTTTTGGAGTTGCAACCAAAAAATGTAGTTTTACTTTGTTAAGTACAAGCAACATGATGTCATGGGCCTTTGCATTTTTTGCCCCAACATTTTCCAGGTTAAAGAAACCTTGCCCATGTGACTTCTTGTTTCCTGGCTTTTCTTGGTCCCTCTGCATCAGCCCAGTTTCTTTCTTTGATTATTACTGATAATAAAGATTCTGCTTCCAGTAAGGCCTTCACAAATCAACAGGCCTTCAGACACATGGGGGTTTCCAAACCCTTATAAGCAGTCAGGTAAGTCTTACTGATGACCCATAAGAAACTGCAGGATCCAGGGGCTCTTCTAGATTTATTAACTCTTAAGAGCCTTCTTAAGAACTACGAACAGTCACCTCCCAGAATTAAATGTTCTTGCCCCCTCCCCAAGCCACCAGATTTTTTTCTGAACACTCTCTGAGCCCAGCATCGCAAATCACAGTTTCAGAGCAGGACAGGATTACACTTCTAGACTCAAATAGAGCAGTGCTGCTCAACCTCAGCAGTTCAACACCAAGGAAGACCTGATATCGGCCTGTTCCTTCTTTGTTTAGAAAATAGCCTTCTGCTGATCTATTTATTAAGCACGGTTTTATTTTTGGCTTCTTTCAGGAGGCCCCTAGAGATGCGTTTGTTACCGTGAACATCACCAACGCTGCTGTTGCCCAGAGCTCTGAAGGCACGTGTCTGCTGGGCCCCACTGCCTCTCCTGCTCCCGGGAACTCCTGCTGCGCCAGCAGCCGCGCTCTGGGCAGGAACGGGAGCCCCAGCACGGCACCGTGTGAGGTGGGAGGAAGCCTCCAGGAGTTTTCTGTAGCGACGGAGACTGATGATGGCCATTTCCCACCAGTTCCCACAGAAGATGAATACATGGATAAGGATCTCAATACTGCCGATTATTTATCTTTACTGAGTCGGACTGCCAGTAAAACCGTGTCATCATTTTCAGAACCAATGGAAGCAGGGGAGAATGACAGCTTAAATCAGTTCTTTTCAGGGATTGGGAGCACAGAGGAAGAATCAGTCTCTCAAGGCTGTCACCCTTCCTCTGACATAGATGGAGCACATGCTGCCACAGACAAACTTCTTCAGAAATCTTGCCAACATGCCCACAGTTGCCTGAAGGAAACGGGCAACAAAGACACAGATCATTTTGCAACAAACTATGACTCAGAGAAGATCTGTGTGAAGTGTGGCATTTCATACAGGGAATCTCCCAGAAAGTGGAGCAAACCCTGCTGTGCTGTGGCTGACAGTGCCTCCACCTCCCCAGAAAGAGGATGCTATACACAGTGCACCTGTAGCCTGAATTTTCTCTCTGCTGGTCAGAGCACTCTAGCAAGTGAATACAGTACGGACGGTGCATCCTTGGACAGTACCAATATGAAGTACCAGAACACAAACAGAAGCACTTCAGGGACGAACAGCAGCACTTCAGACCTCCCTGCAGCATCTGGTAAGCCCATTAGGCTTGGCCCACACACTACAGGATTATTCTCTGTGCTAGCTCAGTATTATACTGAGGGTCTGATTTAGGAGAAAGAGAGAAGAACCAAGTTACGCCTTTTCACTTAGTTGTCTTGAAGCTAATCTGAAAAACAAAACTGAAACAGTATGGCCATTTGGGTTTTTAGTGAATTCTGCAAATGGTATGAGCACTGTGAGGGACCATTGTCCTGCCTTGATCCAACCAAGCAATGCAGAACTCATCTTCTGGCTGTCACTGCAGAGGCCATGCAGTTCTGTTACTCAGGTAGTTTGGCGACGGCAGGTGTGTGTGTTGGAGAAAACTTAGAAGATGGTGATTGTAGGGACCTAGAGGCTGAGTCAAGAAAAGATGCATGATTCTCAGACAGTTTTCCATTCAACAGTCTGCATGCACATTTTTTACATTAGGTTTAAGTTTGTTTACATTTATATGGCAGCCAGTGAAGCTCCAGCTGGAGCTGTAACCCAGTGGCCACAACTGGATCTAAGTGATTATGTTCTATTTTCTACTTTTAGCTTTTTCTCTTTGCTTTAATTTGCTGGGATATGAGTGTTCCTCTGAAAATAATTTAATGCAGACATTCTTTCTCCATACACAAGTGTTCTGTCCCCTAAAAAACTCTGAAACACTGTCACTAATTTACTAATTTACTACCAATTTACTAATTGAGTAGATACATCAAAACTGTCAAATTAAAGCAGGGGAAAAAAATCATTGAAGCAAAACTAGCAGAAGGGAAGTTATGAGACTTTTCTGGATGAAACTTTCCTCCCTCAGACTTTTTTTTCAGTATAAAAGTCTGCAGTCTGCCTGTCATGTGTTATTAGTCATGTTAGATTATAATCTCTTAAAGCCAGATGCTCTACTTTTATGTCAAGACACTGCCAAGCATAATGAGACCTCATTTTTTACTAGGACATCCAAGTATTACTGCAATACACACAGCTGTTGTAAGCTGTTGCTCTTCTTTAAAACCATATCATGCCTTAAAGTTTCTTAGGGAGACATTCTTGTCAGTCTGCCAAAGCCCAAGAGCAACGCTTTGGGAGGCCCTTCCTCTCAACATCCCTGCCATGCGAGAATCTTAAAGTTTGTAGCATTCATCTTTCTAAAAGCAGATTCTCTTTCTGCTGCTTCAGTTTCCTGAAACCCTGACACAGTTTCACTGCCTGGTCTGTACAAAATTCAGCAGCAGTAAAGAGAACACAGACAATCTTTTCTTATTGTTGTTGGAAGGTGACTCTGAAGTACAACTGAAAGTGAAGTGGTATTTGGCACTGTAGAAGTCCTGCTTTTCTTTCTAAATCTGACACAGGAAGAGAAAATATTAAGGAATAATAGGGCAAACAGGAGCACTTGGATTTAAGCATCGTGCTAGAAAATACCATGTTAGATCTGCAGCATAATTTTTTTATATGGGATTTTAATTGGGTCTGTGCCTTCAGGTAGGTACATGCTACAGTGCCATCTGGTGAAACCTGAGCACGGGTACTGTGTTATTAACCTGACATTTTTCAGGCATGACTGCTGGAACATGCTGGCTGAGCTGTGGGCAGTAAAAGAGTGTGGGTTACTTAATCTATAGATAATGTGACTTATTGGCAGAGATTTTTTTCCTGTCTGTAGAATGGCCATGCCCTGCTGGCAACACCTGGCTGGAGGAGGAGTGGGACAGAGCTTAGCCATAGCTCCCACACTGAAGCACTCCAGCCATGCTGGGGCTGTACATGGAGCTGCAACAGCACTGGTCATTTTGCTGGGCCTTGTGAAACGCCTGGATGGAGTAAATGTGCATGCAAAGTACTTCTCTGTAGAGATTCTCAAAGCAACTGAAGACACCAGGCTTTGCACACAGCCTTGCTAAGACAGAGCATTACAAAAAAGGGTGGATGAAAAAATGGGAAGAAAGTGGCTGTGGGTAATTCCATGAAGTTTTAGTTTTAGTTCCCTAACACTCAGAATGACAACAGAAATTGCAAACTATGTCCCTCCTGTGAAATAATCCTAGGGGACCAAAGCAAACCTCTGGACAGGTGCCACTTACAGGGGTCAACACCTGAGATGGATGTAAGCCTTCAAGCACCCTTCCAAAACCCCCTAAGCCTGGAGGCAGTCAGAACACAAAGTGTTGGCTCATGACCACCTCAAGTCATTTGTAGGGCTACAGCATGAAGCATGAGTGAAGGAAAACTTAGATTACTCACAATTAGGAATGGTTTTGCAGAGCCTTCTGTTTCCAGATCCCAAACAGTTCTTAACACCTCAAGGCCATTAGATGGCTCAGAGAAAATTAATCACCTGCATTGTTCCAGTTCTTAGTGAGTAATTACAACAGAAATTAACTGTCATTTGAAACTAATATCAGGTAGTTTGAAGACATCAAAAGGCTGAAACATTGCAGAGAGTGATGCCTTCACTTATCCTCTGAAGATGTCCCTTATGCTTTCCAGAGTGGAAGTACAGCCCTTCGTGAGGTCCAGGAAGCTCTCGTGTCCATTTGCTGTGCTTTTGGGCCTCAAATATCCTTTTGTTTCAGCACAGTGCCTTCAGAAAGCAGTGAGGAATTGCTAGCCACATTCAACTAAACATTATAAATCTGTTAATCTGATTTTTGTTTAGGTTTTTTTTTCTGCTCCCCACTGTCACACAGCTCTAAATTCTTGCTCTCGTACTGAGCACTGGTAAAGTTTTGCACAGGACGTTTTGCCAGCGACAGGCAGTTTGTATGAAGGCAAACAGTTACATTTGTACTCCCATTATGCCTAACAGCTTTGTTGATGGCAAAGAGCCAAACAGAATCAAACCCAGGGGAAGCAACCAGCAGGGAAAAAACTCCCCCAGAGAAAACTTTTACTGACACCTCACGTTAATCAACACCACTTGGAAAGAAAGCCAAGAGCTAGCAATGCAGAGGTTTAGCCAAAATAAACAGAATTGCTTACAGAGACGTTCGGGTGCTACCCAGACTTGGCTCTGGCCAGGCAGAGGCAGCTCAGCACAGCTGGAGCCCCGTGTCCATTGCTGGCCTGCAAACATCACCCACAGCCACTGAAACATCTCTCTGGGCTGGGCCATCCTTGGCTGCAACAAAAATGGGAATGTCCTGGCTGTCAAGGAGCATAATGAGGAAAGTCACAGAATGTCTAAAAGGTGTCAGATCAGTTTGTAACTAATGGTTAAATGAAGAGCAGCAGGGAAAACATTTCTTAGGAACGGTGTTCATAGGCTAGGAAGATGTGGTTTTATTTTATTTTTTAACTTGGTTGCTTTATTTTGTTTAATTTTAAACTTTGACAAGTGTTGTTGAAAGTTTGCTCTCAGTTATTTTCTTTCTGCTCTGAGGGAAGTTTATTAATTCCCAGAGCCTTGTCCTGCTGTCACTCAAGACAGCAACCCAGTCTTTGAATGGTAGAAAGATTGAATTTACACTGAAAAATCTCTGACCACAGGCAGACTGACTGAAACTGCAATTCCATAAAGTTTCTATAATATGAATTCTGTCTCCTCATTGGAGTCAGCATATGTCCAGGTAAATCCATGAGAGCACTAGGTGAGTACTGGAGTGTATTCACCTGGAGGATCAGGACAACACAAGATACACATATAAGCTCCATGTCATTTGGACACTGTGTGACCGTGTGGTCTGACATTAAGCCTTTCAGTATTTGTTCAATCAGCCTGCTATCTACCCACATGGTTGGACTGATTGTTTACCAAAGGGGAAAGAAACCCCAGTGTGGTGCCTGGGACTCTAAAAACAATCTCATAGTTAGAAATAATGGCCATTTCCTCACAAAACAATTGGCAGAGGCAGTTTGGATGCAACTTGTGCATTGGGCAGCATGGGGAGCGTAAGATAGTTGTACTCTCTGTTGCTTCCCAGAGCGTAACTGAGACAGAAAATGTTTCCAAGCCTTCCAGACAGGCTCCCTGTGGATGACAGGCTTTGTCCTGAGGAGGCAAAAGTGGAAATAGTGAAAAAGTCCAGTGGAAGGCATTGGTTCTAAGAGCATCCTCATGTCACGGGGAAAAATAATGGAACAAGAGTAAAGCCACGGCAATGGATTAAGTTCACTGCACTAAGTATCCACCTTGTGAGGGGAAAATATTACTCACGTGTGTCTCCTTTTCTCTCCCTCCTTCCTCAGGAAATGTGACTGGAAACAGTAACTCCACCTTTATCTCAAGTGGACAAGTAATGAATTTCAAGGGCGACATCATTGTTGTCTACCTTAGCCAAAACTCCCAGGAAGGGGCAACGGCCTCAGGGCCGAGTGAGGAGAACGTGGGCAGCCCTGTGCAGGAAGAAAACCTCAACCGCTGCGAGACTTTTGCCGGCAACGCCCAGCACTACAAGGAGAAGTGTGTGGAGCTGCAGGGTGCCTGCCCGGTGGCG